TCTGTAGATGTCTCTAAGCAGCTTCCGGATGATTTCCCAACCGAAGACTTCTTCCAGGAGCAACCGGATGAGCCGCCATCCGACGACTTTTTCCAGGATGAACCAGATAAGTTACCATCCGACGACTTTTTCCAGGAGCAACCAGATGAGTTTCCCCCCGAAGACTTCCTCGAGGACAATCACGAGGAGACCGAACGGGAAGCTCAAATGGGAACGGCACGGACAAGCCCGGAAAAGGATTCCGTAGAAACTCAGCAGGAGGCACCAGAGGAAGCCTCTGGAGAGGTCCCAGCGAGGCTTCAGGAAGAGTTGCTGGTGGAGATTCGGGCTGAGCCTCTGCCGTCGGAAGATCTCTTTGAAGTTCATCACGACGAAACCCTATCCAAGGCTCAGAGGAGTGCTCAACCAGTGAGTCCCGCACAGGACACGGGAAAGCCCCAGGAGGAGGATCAAGTCCGAGCCGTTCAAGAGTCTCGTGGAGTCCAGGAGGGTCCACCAGGAGACCACGGAGAGAATCTTGAGAAGGCACAGGAAGAGATCCAGGAGGAGGCTCATGAAGAAGCCCAGCAAAGTGTTGGAGTGAGGAACCCCGAAGAGAAAGACGGCCGGAAGTCTCAGGAAACAAGTGGTCAAGAGCCCCAGGAAGAGGACCGACAATAAGTTAGGCCAGGTGTGTAGGATATAGGGGTATTACGGTGTACATATAAGAACATTCTCCTTGTATATTATTCATACAGACTTGTACTAGACTTTGCGGCTCAGCGTTTTCTATATAATTGTATTCACATGATTGACACCCATCCAACTTGCTTTTGCAGAAAGACGAGAAGGAAGATCTTGAATCATCTGTTATGTAGGTAACTAGTTAATTAGTTGATTAGCTGAGTTAGTGAGTGGTTTATGCACTTCGTAGAAGCTGACTCAGCAATACAATCATAATTCACCTATGCAAGGCACGCTTTACGCGTTCTGTCGCAGGACGCGCTCTAATATTACCCGATTCAGATGTCGCGTTTGAACCCGAAAGAACGGTTTCTCCGCCAACCCACCCTTCCATCAAGATCAAGCAAAAATCACCATTCGCATCCCCGCGCTTGCACTTTGACCCCAGAGATAGAGGTCCCCCATTTTCTTGCTACTTCATTTCCACTTCGATTATTTTGAGATACCCTTTTCGTTATTAGCAAGAATCTGTCTGTCATGGAGGGACAATTCGATGATGCCGCACAGGATCGTGTGCGTGCCGCTGTCGAATTTCTCGATCCAAGTAAGCCAATATGACCTTTGATCCTTTCGGCGTACAGCGTACTGATTGCTTGACATTGCAGGTGATGCTAGAGCACGCAGGTCTGTTGGCCTCTGACTACCATAGCAAACTGCCTGCTTTGCGGTAATAAGGGTCTAACTTGGAATTAGTTATCGAGCCGATATCTTGTTGATGCTGAACAGAGGGCTACGGCGGTTAATAGTGAGTTGTGGTTATCTGTATACTTCAGGCGACTTAGCCTAATCACTATGCTATGGTTGTAGGTCAGCATTGATGAGATTCGAGCACATAGCCGTGAGATGGCTGATGGGTAGGATGCGCCCGCCCCTCTACTTCACCCGAATCACATTGGCTGATAAATTACAGTCTTCTCACATCTCCCTACGAATACACCGATGCCTTCGAGAGGGCCTTGAAAGATATCATTAAGACACTGCCCAACCGACCGTCGAGAGAAACTGCAGACGATGTGGTATGGCGATTCCGATCTCGAGGACCGCTTGCGCAGCAGGGATTAACAATGTCTAGCATTATCACTGTGGCTTCGTTGGCGCCTTTGGAGAATTTTCCTGCAACCCTAGAACCCTCGGCTCCTCACATCTGAACCGGATGATCTCGTTGGAGGGAATTGTGACTAAGTGCTCCTTGGTCCGACCGAAAGTTATTCAGAGTGTACATTGGAGTGAGCGCACCAAGAAGTTCCTCACCAGGAAATATGTCGACGCGACAATGACTGCGAGTGGAGCAACTAGCATGAGTGTTTACCCCCAAGAGGACGATGAGAAGAACCCAGTACGTTTTTACATGAAATGTGGCTAGAGAACCAATTCTGACATTGTCCGACTTTCCTCAGTTGACCACGGAATACGGCTACTCGACCTACATGGACCACCAGACTATTTCGATTCAGGAAATGCCTGAACGGGCACCGGCCGGCCAACTTCCGCGCAGTGTGGATGTGATCTTGGACGATGACTTGGTCGATCGAGCCAAACCCGGAGACAGAATTCAGCTTGTCGGCACTTACCGTACTCTGGGTAACCGAAACGCATCTTCCACATCCGCCACTTTTCGCACGCTCGTATTAGCCAACAACATCATCCAGCTGGCATCTAAATCAGGCGGTGGCATCGCGCAAACTACCATCACCGATACCGACATTCGAAACATCAACAAGGTCGCTAAGAAGAAGAGCGTGTTTGAGTTGCTATCTCAGTCCCTCGCGCCCAGTATTCACGGCCATGACTACATCAAGAAGGCGATCTTGCTTATGCTGCTTGGTGGCATGGAGAAGAATTTGGACAATGGAACTCACTTGCGTGGTGATATCAACATCCTCATGGTCGGTGATCCGTCTACTGCCAAATCACAGCTCCTTCGCTTTGTTCTGAATACCGCACCGCTTGCTATTGCAACCACGGGTCGAGGATCTTCTGGAGTCGGTCTTACTGCTGCTGTCACTTCCGACAAGGAGACTGGTGAGCGCAGACTTGAGGCCGGTGCTATGGTTCTTGGTGACCGTGGTGTTGTCTGTATTGACGAGTTCGACAAGATGAGTGATGTTGATCGTGTGGCTATTCACGAAGTGATGGAACAGCAAACAGTCACAATCGCAAAGGCTGGTATCCATACGAGTCTGAACGCTCGATGCAGTGTCCTGGCTGCCGCCAATCCTATCTACGGTCAATACGACCCTCACAAGGACCCGCATAAGAACATCGCTTTGCCCGATTCTCTCTTGTCGCGTTTTGATTTGCTTTTTGTTGTGACGGACGACATCGAAGACGCTAAGGACCGAATGGTTTCCGAACACGTCCTTCGTATGCACCGCTACCGCCAGCCTGGCGCTGAGGAGGGTGCACCGGTTCGTGAACAACAGCATCAGACCCTTGGTGTCGGTCTAGAGGACAACCAGGATTCAAACCATCCCACTGATGTCTACGAGAAATTCAATGTCATGCTACATGCTGGCATGGCCAACCAGCGGAGCAAGAACAAGAACGTCGAGATCCTGAGCATTCCCTTCATCAAGAAGTATGTTCAATACGCGAAGACTCGTGTCAAGCCCGTGTTGACCAAGGGAGCTGCCGACCACATTGTATCGACTTACTCGGCGCTGAGAAACGACGATTTGGCCGGCAACCAGCGCAGAACGTCTCCCATCACCGCTCGTACTCTCGAAACCCTTATTCGCTTGTCCACAGCCCATGCCAAATCGCGCCTCTCGAACAGAGTGGAAGAACGCGATGCCAAGGTCGCAGAATCGATCCTGCGATTTGCCATGTTCAAGGAAGTGCTTGAAGACGAGCGACGGAAGAGGAGAAAGGTCACTACTTTTGACGAGGACTCGGAAAGCGATGACCTCGATTCTGAGAGTGATGAAGATACCCCTGCACAGACTGCAAGCGCGACCCCCCGATCTACCAGACGGGGCGGGATGAGAACTCGCAGTGCCAATGGTGTCTCGACCATAACCGAGGATACCGAGATGGATGCGGAGGGAGACAACGTGTCTGAGGATGGGGATGGCCTGTACAACTCCAGTCCCCGTGGCCAGCGGCTTCGCTCCAGCCGGACTCAGCCCGAGTCGCAAAGCCAGTCTCAGATGTCGGTAGCATCGTCCCGTCCGGCGTCGCAGCTGGTCGAGTCTCAGACGGACACCTCGCAGTCGCAGACCGCCAGCCTTTCGTCTCAGCCTATCCAGCCTGCCCGTCTGACGGTCTTCCGCCAGGCTCTGGGCCCGCTGATGGGCACCCGCTTGTTTACCCACGGAGACACCGCTGACGTGGAGGAGCTTATTGGCGCGGTCAATACCGCTATTCGCAGTGCTCCCTCACTTGGCGAGGGCCACGTCTTCCAGCGTCCGGAGGCCCTGCAGGCCCTGCGGGCTATGAATGAGAGAAACGAATTGATGTAAGTCCCAACTGACCCCCTATGCTTCACTGTCAAATCATAGGACTAGATCTCTAACCACGAATACAGGTACCTTGAGGATGATGAAACTGTTTACAGAATTTAATGAGCTATTCGGTTGAGGATCTTTTCGGCATAGAATCTGGGGTGTTCTGTTGTTGTTGTCACGAAATCAAGCAGGGTTGTATGTGCATGGTATTTTTTTGTTACACGACGACTTTGTTCTACATAATCGACATTTGGAGAAAGAAATGGCGTTCTTCGGAGTAATTTCGGTTGTGTTGCTGAGAATTTGAAGTAGTCTATGTATCATCGAAGTGATAATACAGCTATATTTGATTATGTGTATAGCCTACCTAGTGGTATCCTACCTTTCTCTCAATCAAACACTCCACATAATAGATCACACCAGCCCCAAACCTATTCCGCCATAGTGTACAAGAATTCCAGGTGTAGTAGACAACGCAGTGCCTATATCCAGGATCCACACACCAACGGACCATCACGATTGTCACTATGCACGTACCTATATCCAGTCCCTTTTCTAGCTTTCGTCCTATCTATATCATTTCCTCTCTCACATCTCATCTGCTGAGAGACAATAAACAAGAATCCAAAGTTTTTACTTATTCACTCACTCTACTTTCAAGGTTTCAATCATTCCATCATCCTTCCTTGATGTCCAAATGGCAACATGAATACAAAGACATAGAGATATAACAGGGTATTAAAAGGAAGAGTAGAGGGGGTGGGGTTGGGGTGAAGAGGGAAGAAATATGGCGATAGAATAGAAGAAGAATAGAAGAGAGGCCACACGCACACGCACACACACACACACACACACACAGGAAGAAGAAAGTCTACATGAAGACAATAGGACGTATGGCGCTGGAGAGACGGAGGAGGATGGGGAGGGGACCCGCGGGGTATAATTTAACAAACATGTGCGATTGGGCTTAGGGATTTCTCAGCTGGAGAATTAAGCCTGACACCCTTGCTTTATTTGCAGTATATTCCTTTACACTTTTTCTTGAGAGATTCGCTTTCATTTTATATCGACCGGAGTACTGCTTCTCATTGAGGAGGAATCTTCGGATGAAAAAGATGGAGTGCGCAGTACACCCTCGCGGATTTGTGCCTGGGTCAATGGCGAGAGCCCGCGAGTGATTGCTTTGGTGCTTTTCTTCTTGCGCTGCTGCTGCTGCTGTTGGTGATGTTGCGCGTGATCTAGGTGGGCGATTGGGCTCAGGCTGCCTCGGCGCGGCCGGCCGCTGATCGACGATCGCGATGGTGGCCGCTCGTCCGTGTCCACGGGAGTAGTGCTCCGGGATGGGGTTCGGGAGTGCGATTCGGAGCGGGGGCCCCGTCGCGCGGGCGATTTGGACTCGAGACCGTGTTTCGAGGAGATACTGGAGTGGTGGTGGTGACGGGGTTGGAGCCCGGATTCTGCGGATCGGCCGAGCGTTGCTGCGGCGAGTCGGCGACGCTGGGAGGTCTTCCAACCGGATCCAAGCCACCAGAACCAGCCGCGGTCCTGCTGGGCGATCTGACGCTCTTTCTGGAGCAGCTTCTGACGCAATTGAGCGCGCCGCTCGTTCTCTTTCTCCCAGAAATCGGTGCGATAATCGTCCCAGTTCTCGCGGAATTCGGGAGAGAACGATTTGGGGAGGAGGAGCAGTCGGATGTAGTCACCCCCTGGGCTTAGATCTTCCTGCACAAGGCCCGACTCTGTGTCCTGCCCGTAATACTGCTGATAGTGCTGCCGACTACCGCGTTTCTCGGACACAGGGCGCTCGATATAGTGAAAATCCCCAACGGGAGAAGGGGAGAAGGGGTCGATGAACGGAAAGAGGAAGGAGATGTATGAGAGCAACTCCTGCCACCAGGGACCTCGAATGACGATGATTTTGGTATTCATGGTGCGGAGGCCACGGTTGGTCACGGCGAGCCAGCGCCGCGGCCACCGCACCCCGCGCTCCCATTGTCCTGTTCCCCAGACCAGCAAGGCAGTGACCACGCCTCCGAGTAGAGCGACCTTCTCGCCCATCTCGACCACCCAGTAGACCGATCCGCCCACCCCGCGGCCATCCTCGCGGGGCCGGAGGAAGAGCGCGTAGGCGAAATAGGTAATCCAGATGGCCAGCAACAGCAGGAAAAAGGTGTTCTGCCTTCGACGTTCACGCAGGGCTAGATATTGGGCTCGCAAAGAGCTTTCCAGTATAAGGAGATTAAGGTATATCTGGGGTGGGGATGAAGGCAGGTTCGAGTATGCGTCGGGCGTGGCCGGGCGTGGCGGGGAAGAGGAAGAGGCATCATCGGATGTCGGAGTCCCATTGTATGGGGCGGCCACAGAAGTCGACGAGTCGGACGATTGTGTCGCTGAAGAGCCTTTGACAAGCTGATCGAGGCTGGCGGAAGCCATGGCGTCCTCGAAGCACGCAGTAAAATGCAAGAGGAAGATAATCCAGCTGCAGATGGGGAGGAAGATCGGAGGATCCCTTGTGGAAGTAAGTACAGTAAGTACAGTACAGCACAGGGCAGCGAGATTCAGGCGCGCGCGCGGATCAGATGAATCGAAAAGGTGCCAAAAACAGAAACAGGAAAATGAAATGGCCTTTGCGGCCCTACTCTATCTCATCGCATGAACGAGAAAAGACCGAGTTCTGGGGGAGGGGAAGATATGGAGATGGAGATGATGGCTGGGAGGGTAAGACTGGGAAGAAATGGGAAGCAAGCAAGCAATCAATCAATCCATTCATTCATTAACATTAATCGTCATCTGCCAAATTGTTGGCCGTTGAGGCTCCACCACAACCACCTCCTCCATCTTTTTCTCCATCTCACTTCAACAACAACTCACTCCACTTCTCGATAAACCTGAATTAATTCTTATCAAGATTACCTTTAGTACCTGACTAGCTAAGTCGTGTACAATGGTCTTATTATAGCAAAACCTACTCACCTACTCACTCTATTCGTCATCTTCTGCGGGCTCGAACTGCTTAACTCCATCCGAGTCGGAATTATCGGTCTTTGGCGTCGCCTCAACCATTTTCTTTTCTTTGCCTCCACCTGTCATCAACTCATCAGCCACCCCTGGCCAACCTATATTTCCGTCATCTTCCCTCCTCCGCTCTTTTTCGACACATACGCGCGAGTGACAGATATTTCCTCTGTCACTCTATCTCTCTGAGCGACAAGGTGTATACCGCGCGGCTTTCTTGCCTCCCCCTCCAGGCCTCCACGTTGCAATCCTGGACTCCCCGCAATACCCCTCGCATCTACTTTGCACCTACCCTTGTCGCATCCAGGCGATCGACATCCTCAATGGCCTCCGAACAAATCAACTCGTCCAAGAACGAGTACAGTGAATCCGGCCCCCAACGCAGGGACGGCACTCCTCATGCTGCTCTCGGAGCAAGCGCAACCCCTGCACCCTCCGGTTGGTTTCCTTTGGGCTACCGGGAGGGCTTCAGCCAATGGGTAGGTTCCTCATCGCAGCAACAAAAGTGATTTTCTAGTGTTTATGCTTTTGTGGCAAGGGTCACTGAACCGCAATTGTATCTCTACAGTGGGCGTCATTACCGGCTGCCACAACCGAACACAAAGTCCTCTCCTACCTACCCTATCTTCAGCACCAACCCCCGACACACCTCCAAACCGGAAAGACCAGCACAGTCCCCAACGGCGGATCGGGGAGTCTTCAGTCCGCCGATCACACTGAGGAGGGCGATGTCACTATCAATTCCACCAACGATCCGTATGGCCCGCGACGGTGGCGCTCAAGCATGGTGGAGCTCAGCGGCAAGAATCGAGCTTTGAACGAGTTTTCTGTCGAGCGTGTGGGTGAGGAGGTAGACCAGCATTTGGTCATGGTTCACGGCTATGGAGCCGGCCTGGGCTTCTTCTACAAGAATTTTGAACCCCTCAGCCGATTGAAAGGCTGGCAGCTCCACGCGCTGGACCTCCTAGGCATGGGCCGCAGTACACGCCCACCGTTCCGCATCAAAGCCAAGGAGCGAGAAGAGGCCATCAAAGAAGCAGAGGCGTGGTTTGTGGACGCCTTGGAAGAATGGCGCGTCAAGCGCAAGATTGACCGCTTCACCCTCATGGGCCACAGTCTGGGAGGCTACATGGCAGTGGCCTACGCTCTCAAGTACCCAGGCCGTCTGAACAAGCTGATTCTCGCCTCACCCGTGGGCATTCCCGAAGACCCCTACGCAGTGAAGGCAGAAATGCCCGAATCCTCGACGGTGGCGAACGAGCTCACGCAGAATCAGCGCACTATCGCCGAATCCGCCTCCTCGGTCGCGCCCGGGGAAATCCAGAAGGGAGACAACAACATCCTCCTCAGAGGTGCTCCTCCCGATTCCCCAGACCGCCCTCCTCGCCGGTTGGTTCCGAAATGGTTCGCCTATCTCTGGGATGCCAACATCTCCCCCTTCAGCCTGGTGCGGTGGGCGGGACCCCTCGGCCCGCGCCTGGTCTCCGGGTGGACTTCTCGCCGCTTCTCGCATCTCCCGGCAGGTGAAGCCAAGGCCTTGCACGACTACTCTTACTCGATCTTCAGCCTCCGTGGTAGTGGTGAATACGCCCTATCTTACATCCTGGCGCCCGGTGCATTCGCCCGCAGCCCGTTGATCCGTCGCATTCAGGGCGTCGGCCGGCAATACATGGAGCAGAACCCATCCCCCGCCTCCACCCTCCTGGACTCTACCAAGGCCGCAGCAGCATCTGAAGCCGCTGTCCCCTCGTCCTCGTCACAATCCCCCTCGGCCAAGCGCGAAAACGGCCTCCCCGTGGTGTTCATGTATGGAGACCACGACTGGATGGACGTGAAGGGTGGCATCGCCGCCAAAGCCAAGTTAGACGAGGAAAAGGAGCGGGCCCTCCGGAATGCGACGCCGGAAGAGCGCGAGGCGGACAATGGCTCTGCCAAGGTGGTGATCATCAAGAACTCCGGGCATCATGTCTACCTCGATGGGTGGGAGGAGTTCAACCGGGTGGTCCTGGCTGAGATGGAAGAGGTAGAACGCAAGGAGAGAGCGAAAAGAGATTAAGCTTTTCTAGTTGTTCGTGTGTGTGATTGCTCGACTTTGGGTGGGGTTTTCCCTGGGAGTGAAGAAGTCATGAGGAGTTTGGATCCATTTGCAGCGGTGGGTGTGCTTGATTGATCAGAAGCGTTGTTGATTCCATGTTGTTTTTGTCCATATACTATAACTTATACTACACTATACATTGTCTATGATCTGAAGATAAGGATAATCATCACTTACAATCTGATTTGTTATGGCGGATTGAAGCTAAGTGAAAGAAGCTTTCATGTATGCATGTCACGAAGTTAGTAGACTAGTAGAGTGCGCAGGCTAATCGACTAGGACAAATGACACAAAATTTTCCCTAGCATCCAACCTAAAATAACGTATGGCTCCAAGACTATGGATTTGGGCCCTTTATGACCGAGTAGTCACTCTGAATGCAACGTACCGAACAATTCCTACAACAAGCCAGACCAGAGCTTCAAGGCTGCAGGAACTGAACGCCCGAGTTCGGTCCGGATATACTTCTTCGGCGGTACCGCAGGCCCGTGGAGTAATGCACCATCGATTTGCCCGGTGGCCGGGGGGACCGCTGCCCTCCTTCGACGGGGGTCACGGTTCCGCTGCTGTTGGAACTAGCCTTGCTCGCCGCGGTGGGTCGTGCGACGAAGTAGCCGCCACCACCACCGCCACCTGGTCCGGGGGGGGCATCGAGAACTGCACTGGAGGAGTGGCTCTCAGCCGAGAGTGCTGTCTCTGGGAAAGAGGGTAGCTGGTGGATGGTTGATGATGAAGACGGAGACAGAGCTCTGAGGTCGCGGGGGGCCTCGGACTGTGCTGCTGCTGCTGCTGCCGCTACGCTGGGTTCCGGCCGACTGGACAGGGACAAGAACAAAGAGCTGGTCGATAGCTTGGAGACTTGGAGCGAGGAGGTGGTTGCTGAGCGGTGGTGATGGCGGCGATGTCGGCCGCCGTGGTGCGGCGGTGGTGGGTGCTGCTCCTGCGATGGGCGTCGTTGGCGCCAGAATGATGATGATGATGATGATGGTTCCACGAGCTCCGAGGTGCTGCTGTTGCTGCGGAGGGTTAGGGGTTGCGAGGGGAGCTCGAGGCGTTGGTTGATGGAGAGCCAGGCTCGCTCGTCTTCGCCGTCGGGGTCGTCGGATCTGTTTGTGTTGGTATGGGTGTCATCTCCGGGGAAGCCGTTCGGGGTTGTTGTTGGGGAGTGCGTGCCTGCGATATGGTGGTATCTGGAGGTACTGGGTGGTGGTGGGGGTGAGCGCCAGCCGCCGAGACCTTCGAAGTCCCGGCCGGAGTCGCCGCTGATGAGGCCTAGGAGGCCCGTTGCTGCTGCTGTAGAGGCAGGGGCGTGTCCGTTGCGTTGGGAGGGCTCCTTGCACAGGCGGGTGGGCGGGATGTTGCTGTCTTGTTGGTCGTCGGAGGAGGTGGAGGCGCTGTTGGCCCGGGTGGCGTGGTTAGGGCGTTTATTGCTCTGGGCGCGTGCAAGTGAGTGTGCCAGGTGATGGCTGTGATGATTGTAGGCATGATGATGTTGGTGCTGGTGAGACGTCAAGGTGGGTGGTGGAGGCCTCGTTGCGCCATGGTCTATGGAGAGTCTTTTGGGGGTCGAAGAGGCGGGCGTCGAGGGCTCCGATGCAGATAGATTCAGCAACGAGATGTTTGTTGCTGTCGGGATCACGAAGAAGTTGGCGATGATTGCGAAGCATAGCTCCAGGTAGATGATGAGAAGTCTGAGGATGAGCGCTAGCAGCGAGAGACTAATCGTGATCCAAGCGGAGATGACGAGGGGGATCGAGATGATGGCTAAGAAGGGAAGTGTGAGCAGAACGGACAAAGAGGTCGACATGAAGACGGTGGGTACTGTAGAACAAGTCTTGTGCTTGATTTGAGCGGATATGATTCATGAGCTGGGATACATATAGACCAGCACTGTATCAGAAGCAAGGCCAGAAGCGACCTTTGGATCTTTTCACCATGATCTGATTTGAAGAGCAGATGGTTGTTATACAACGGATGGATGGATCCATGATCTTCTGGTGGATTTCTACTTCGGGATAGTCAAATTCCCCGAGATTGCGGAGAACTGCATGTGATACCGGCTGCCCCAGGCATGGAAGATTTGACACCTAATGCAGCACTGCTGTGGCAATTGGCCCATAGCCTGTGATTTTAGGCTTACATATTTCAGGGAGAGAAAGAAAGAAGTACCTGGATTATTATATCCTAGCAAATACATGAAGTATAGCAGTAGCTAGTGCGCTACCTGTTCTGGTTCTGATGAACCCGATACTGTTACGTCACTGCAACAACATCCTCATCCTCGTACTGTAAATACCGCCCATCATCTCCGATTTCCGTCTTCCCCAGTCTCTCTACCTGCTACTCGCCACCTTCACCATCTTATTGTTGTGTAAATGTCAGACACAAAGCACAATGACGAGTTTCCGTGGTACTTGGGTGTTTACGACGCTCATTGCCATCCCACCGATACGATGTCGTCAATTGAAACGATTCCACAAATAAAAGCAACGACCTTGACGGTCATGGCTACCCGGGGAGAAGATCAAGATTTGGTTCTCGAAACTGCGATGTCATTGAGCAAAAATGAAATTGATGCGACAGGCACAAAACCACCGCCTGTGCTGCCATGCTTTGGCTGGCATCCGTGGTTCTCGCACCAGATTCTCGACGACCTTACAGACTCTGCAGAACCTGACAGTTCTCCGCGGGACGATCGAAAGGCACAACACTACAAGAAAGTCCTTACACCGGCACCGGAAGATGAGTTTATCGCCTCCTTGCCGGACCCCAAGCCGCTTTCGCAGCTGATCGCAGACACGCGCTCACGCCTAGAGGCTTATCCCAGCTCCCTTGTGGGCGAAATCGGCCTTGATCGCGCATTTCGGCTGCCCAATGCGTGGACCCAAGACGACCAGCTGAAGCGGGACGAGACAGTGACGCCCGGTTCACGTGAGGGCAGGACTCTCAGCCCTCATCGGGTGCAGCTGAGCCACCAGAAGGCTGTCCTTGAAGCGCAGTTACGTCTTGCCGGGGAGCTAGGTCGACCGGTTTCTGTGCACAGTGTTCAAGCACATGGGGCGGTCTTTGATCTGTTCAAGAAGCTTTGGTCCGGCCATGAGAAGAAATTGGTCTCAAGGCGGGAGAGACATCGTCGGCAGAACGAATGGAATTCCTCTGCTGAGAGTGATGAAGAAGAAAATCAGAAGCAATCGGACTCGGCGCAAGCAAACGAGCGACCGCTTCCTTTTCCACCCCGGATCTGCATGCACTCGTATTCGGGACCTGTGGACCCGTTGAAGCAATTTTTGCATCCATCGAATCCCTCCGTCGTCTACTTCTCGTTTTCCGCGGTCATTAATTTCAGCAACCCTTCATCTCAGAAGGTAATGAACGTTATCAAGGCTCTGCCCGACGATAAGATCCTCATTGAAAGCGATTTGCACACCGCCGGACCACAGATGGACGAGCTATTGGAGCAGATCAGCCGGCAGATCTGCGAGCTTCGTGGTTGGGCTTTGGAACAGGGAGTTCAGCAATTTGCAAACAATTGGAAACGCTTCATTTACGGTTAGAATGAGCTCAATTAGAGAGCAATAGAGATGCATGGCTAGAGCATGATTTTTTTTATCGTATCAGTTTGTTGAAAGAAGCATTTGTTGGGGGTGGAATGAATTGATAAGGGCCCATTTGATCCAGGCAGTGAGCCAGTCACACACAGTTGATAGGGCTGCTTGATAAGGGAGTCATTCAAATTTGACACTAAAAGGTTATCCCGGTGGGTCGGCTTGATTCCTTCCACAGTCACCGGAAGAAAGCCGTCTTCCTGGACCAGTATGTTGCGTGTAGACAAGGGGGAGGATGGGAATAAATTCCATTCTTCTCTTGACCAGTGGAATGGGCCATGGAAGTTCAATCTGATCTCACCCCGCCTAATATTCCATGCGGATTCTGGAAAGTAAGGCACCAGCCGTGGCCTTTTCTCCGCACGTGCCACGTGACTCCCCCAGACCCGGCCTCGTTCCTGCCCCACATTCCACTTGCAACTCTCTCGCTTTCCCGCTTGTTGTCGGCGTGTCTCCCTCTTCAGTGACCTCTTCCTCTTCCTCTTCCTCTTCCTCTTCCTTTTCCACCTCTCCCTCTCTCCTCTCTTCACCACTCCTTCAATCCTCTCCTTGGTTCCTTGATCTCTCATAGCCTTGATTACGAAGACTGAATCATGCCATAATCTCCGTCTTCTGCTCTCGTGCATCTGATTATGCATGACGAAGTAACGAGTCTCCGGACCTGGAATCTATATCGATGCTTCGGCTATGTCCTCCGCAGCGCATAGCAGTCCACCCACCGGGAATGGCGTGACTAAGCGCAAGTCAGGTATGTACTCGCTCTGGCTCATCATCTGCGCTTCTTAAATACTCGGATCCTCATCAATGTCTGTCTGCGCCAGGCTCTGCCGCCTGCATTCACTGTCATCGGCGCAAAGTTCGCTGTGATGCTCGGCTCGTCGGGTTGCCTTGCTCCAATTGCCGCTCCGCGGGAAAGTCAGACTGCCGCATTCATGAGAAAAAGAAACGCTTAGCTACACGCTCAATCTTGAACCCTGTACCTATTCGCTGTCGTCCACCTCCTGCTTTTGAACCTACGCACAAACCATCAAATCTTGCTTCTCCTGCTGCTCCGCCAAATGCTTTCACAACTGCCTTCCGCAACGTTCAACCGGAGGTTGTGGCAGCTGCCACTTCCCTCGTCAATGTCCATGCGCTCCATCGTACAACCAATGACCATGTTGATCACCAACAACAGCATCACAGTTCTTCACCAACTTCCGATGCCCAGACATACCATCACCCAACGGAATCGGAGATCTCCATAGACCAGGACTCGCATGCGGATTTGGAAAGACGATTGGTGAAACTGATCGACGAGGAAGAATCAGGCAGTCGAGAAATCCGTCGGGGTGTGCGAGCGATCTATGTCGGTCACGAGCTGTCCAACATGTCTTTTTTGATCCGCCAACAGCGAGACGAAGTCGACGACGTGTACCACTTTGCTGGAAACGAAATACCTCGGCGCCAACTGAGAACAGGCCACGATCAACTTTTGATGGATGCTGTCACCTTGCCTGAACCGGCTCTGGCAGATGAACTGGTTCAGGCTTACTTTGACCACGTCAACCCAGGGTATCCCATTATAGATGAGGATCTCTTCATGACACAGTACCGGAATCGGGACCCTGCCGACCCGCCGCCAATCCTGCTTCTACAAGCAATACTTCTAGTCGGAGCACACGTAGCTCGGCAAAAGGTCGAGCGTGATGCACTGAAAGAGATCTTCTTTCGTCGAGCTAAATGGTTATTCGACAGTCGTGTCGAGCGAAACCGCGACATCATGATTCAGGCCGCTCTACTTTTGACTTGGCACTCTGATAGCCCTGACGATGATGTCTCAGCTAACGCTCATTACTGGGTTGGCGTAGCTGCTAGGATTGCCACAGGACTTGGAATGCATCGAAATCCTGTGTCAAGCCGATTTGTTTCACGAGACCGCCGTATGTGGAGGAGGCTTTGGCATATCCTAGTCCAATTTGATGTCATGGTATCTCTCTCATATGGACGCCCACAAGCTATGTAAGTGGTCCAGAAGTCTTACAGTTGATGCCCAGGACTGACAGTCTCCTTTAGTAATCTTGAGGACTCAGATGTGTCTTCGTTAACACTTTCAGACTTTCAAGGATGTGGACCTGGGGTTCAAACAGACTTTGTGATTCATTTTTCGGAACTCTGCACAATGATATCTTACATTGTTCGCAATCGTTTCGGACTGAGAGTCAACCCAGAGCGTCGCAAAGCGGTGTTGCAAGAAGCCGACGAGAGCCTAGCTAATTGGTCCTTGAAGCTTCCAGACAAATTACGCTTACGAGCATCTGACATGGATCCATGGTCTGCTATGCTTCATTTGACCTATAACAACTTCCTCATTTTACTACATCGACCCCATCCAAGAGCCTCTGCATATTCGGATGACTACGGACCACACGATGCTGAAATCTGTAGCGCAGCTGCAGGTGTCATAGCCTCGATTTTCGAAGAACTTCGTCTCCATGATCGCTTGAAAATTCTCTGGTACTCCGCTGTTCATACCCTTTTCACGGCAATGATACAAGTGCGAGTGGAGCTTCGCTTCTCAAATCCTGTCCTAGCGATTAATGCCCTTCGTCGCTTTGATTCAGCTTCTTATTCGCTTCGTGAACTGGCAGGATACTGGTCACATGCCACCACTATCTTACGGTTGTTCGAAGATTCCAAGCGCCTTCAGGAGGATCTTCGCTTGGCTACAACTGAAAGACCCCGTGGTTTCAGCAATTCCCAAGAACGGGAAAAGATTGTGGCCCATACTTCATCCTCTAGCTCTTCCACAAGCACAATAGCTACACACACTCCACAACAGCAGGAGGAACAGCCTGTCTCCTACGAAGTTCCGACTCCAGAGTCGACACACATTCCAAACTCCACTACCTCTGCGGGCCTTCAACAGAATCACGCGATCGATCACTGGATGCCAGCCGCAAACATGGCTCCGGTAGAGACTCTGGACGCCCCCCGCGAATCTCTCGATTGGCGGCAGCTGTTCTCTTTCGCAGACATGGACCAACCCGTCCTTCCCATGGCCATGGAAGGTCTTCCTGAATTGGAAGATGAGTGGCGTCAAATTTACTGGCAGGAGACACCACTGTCGGATCTCTTGCATGATGGGGGCTGGATGCACGGCTGACATTTGCATTGCACTTGTATTTATGGCGTACTCGTCATTGCCACATATCATTGGTCTTGAAGCTACCCGGATATTCCTTGAGAACATGGACTGTGCGCGAACGATAATGACTTGATGACCCTCTCATTGCTTTGTCCCGGCTTTTCATTGATATTTAGCACCATCGATGTCGGGAAAATATCGGTGACCTTTCTGCATTTATCATTCATAGCCCCCTAACATGGAATTGTCATAAAACCAGTATACCAAAATTTAGCCCTAATCAGCTTGTTGTGCCGCGAAAGCGCTAAAGGACAGCGATGTCCAAGCTTGATTCTATCTGCCAACACTAAGATCCACCGCCCGAAAGCATGTGCCCACACAAATAAGCTAAGAATAGCAGATGAATATAGGTGTAGACGAGACAACTCGACGAAGACAGATAAATACAAATGATCCCAGATCGAAGGGACCAGCATACCCGGACCTACCGGGTCATGCAAAACAGCCTCTTTTACACTGATTGAGGAGACAGGGTGAGTCTCCGAACAAAACAAGGAAAGGAAAAACTGGGAATCGGAGCGGGTAATACAATAAAAGGCAGTTGATGTGCCCAGAGAAATCAGGGAAGTGAGAAGCCGCAGCTCATGTAACAGAAGAAACAACCGATGAAAAGCCAAGATAAGCGCGCCACCCGTGAACTGAGATCTGAATCTGTCGGATTGCTTAAGTTAAAAATCTCACCCAGTTTCCGTCCGTCACAAGTTCCGTGAGTAAGCAAATCCCCATAATGCTCGTGCCGCACCACCTGGGGAGACGTTATGTTGTCAAGGGAGTAAGGACCGGAAGTGTAGTTTGAAACGTTTGTAGTAAGGAACCGTGTATGTTACTGTGAGCCCTCAGGGGCTGGATACACGGTGAAACCAGTCTTGGATTCCTTTGTGCATTTTGGGACACAGTGTGTAGATCATCCGTGGGGATATGGTTGATGGCCTTGGAACCAATTATGATTGCACTGCGTCAGTTGGAATGGTTCTCCTGCACAAAGACGCTTACTCTAGTAGGAATCACCGCCAGTGCCGTTGTGGGCTTGGCCGACCATGGGAGGATAGCCGTAGGCGGAAGCATCCTGCTCAGAGGGGTCCAAGCTTGGGTTGATGATGTTATTGGCAGCATCCGTGGTATCAGGGAAGCCCCCCGGACCCGTCGGTGCAACTGGCCGTCCGGATGGACCGGCGCCGGGAGGACCTCCAACGGGGCCGCCGGCGTTGTACCCACTGCTTGTCGGACGGTTCTGATGCTCTCCTCTCGCGGATTGGGTCTGCAGATTAGATCAGCAGTGTTCTCTTCAAGGCAAACCACGCTTTCGCCAGTTGCGGCGAGGGCAAAGTGGCTGGATGCGTTGCACAAGTCTTACCTCGCGGTATTTCGATAAGTAGATCTTAAGTGCCTCTGCGTAGTTTTCGAAACCGAGTGAGGTCATGGCGAAAAGGATATCCTCTCCGTTGACTGTTTTACGCTTTTCCTGCTGACATTTGTCGGAAGCTACGCAAAGGCTCGACAGTCAGTCTTCAGTGCTGATAATGAGACGATATTGACTGTACAGACCTTCACTGGTGATGAACGAGATGAATTCGCTCACACATTCCTGCATACACTCCTTGGCCTCCTTCGCGATCTTCGCATTCTCAGGTAGAGCTAGTTTCATGATGCGAGCCACTTCACAGGCGATGTCAGTATTCTATACAGGCATGCAGTGATAGTAACAACGAAGCGGTGGATATGGGCATAATGCACCCAGCATGCTATAGCATACTGTAGACATGTCTACCCAATCGGATGAATGCTGGCAGTGGTGGCAGACGACAAATAGGGACATGAACCGAAAGGCTCGTGGTCATCAATCCCCGAAATAGATGATGGCAGGTAGATGAATAGGATAGCAAGGAATGGTGACGATTGACCGAATCAGCCTCCTAGGCGGTGGAGAGGCACGAGCAATCATAGTAGGGCAAAAGGCGGTTGACCAGCAGGTGAAGGTAAGGTACGCACAAATCAGGACGAAGCGACAAGCTGCAAGGGAACGCAACTAACCATTTGCAATTGGTAGCCATCTGTCCTGCTCCTTTACTTCGAACTCTCCCTGACCTTGCGCCTGGGAGTCTTGTTGGTCTTTGTCCATTTGTTCCTGGTCTTCACCCGATTGAACTTCCGGTTCCACCTCCGGTTCCTTCGAGGGGGAGGTCGACGACATGATTTTTAGCTGTCGGGAGAACGTGCAGAGATACTGGATTTAGGATGGAAGGGCTGTCTCTAATTGCTCTGTTGGCAAACCACGTCAGAGCTGCGTACAGGGCGTGGTGGATTCTCGATCTTGGACGTTATGATACAGCCGCGCCAAGGGTACTGAAGGTGTGTCTGGCTGGGCAGCGATTCGCTTCACAACAGCCTGAACGGGGAAGGATGACTGTGACAACGCGTGTGGGGGATTGGCAGCGCTTCCGCGATAGTGCGTGTGTGCCTTAGCGTTCTGAGCACGGCCTGGTAGGATCTGTTATTCCGACTGCGATGACGAGACACGGTCCGAAAGATGGCTCTGTTTGTTATTGCTCTATTATTATTGCTGGTCTAGAGATTGGCTGCAATGGGTTGAATGGGACGATCTGATTCGAGGGCCAGTGAAGTAAGGGCAAGCTTGCGGCAGGTTCTGGAAACATACACAACTGATCTTGGGCTTCGTTCCTTTTCTTTTTCGTCCTGCTATAATTGGAGAAGCCCCAATCTAGGTCTTCCGGAAATAATGCTGTCTGAATGACGTTAGAGCTGTCAAACTAGAGGCGATAGTAACGTCAGCAAGCTGAAAAGTCCAAGTCTCTTTGCAGCACGCGCATTCATGGACGCGGGAGAAGGTCAACAGGGCGGGCGGAATGTGACGCGGGTAATACAACACGGAAGTAACCGTGGGTCAGACAGGATTTGGGGGGGGCAGTGGCACGTTGCGCAGCTGGGCGACAAAAGATACCAACAAGAAAAGCAAGCCAAAGCACGACAGTGATTGGACTGAAATGCAAGAAACGAGGACGCTGAGAATGGGTAGAGGGGGGCGATGTAAGGGAAAAGGTAATAGGCTTACCGGCCAGTCAATGGCAGGCACTGGGGGAGGGGGGCGTAGGGCAGGTCTGACTGGAGACGGCCGCAATGCGCGCAGCTCTCAATTGGCGAACCAGAAGTCCCTGGCTGTCGCGATGAATATATCCAAGCGCCAATGAGCTTTGACGCGATTTGCAATGCACAGTTTCCTGCTCCCGAGAAGCACGATAGATGAGTATTATTCGAAGAGAAACGATGAGCGGAATACGATGAACGACTTTGGTTGCGCCCAATGTCCCAGATTGAGTGAAGAGAAGGAAGAGCGATGAGGAAGAGGAGAGGAAGTTGAGAGTCGATGAGCCGCGGTGGGAAACCAGCAACCAGCGCTCATCGGCGGCCTCAGGACTTCCATAACGCCCCTCTAACGCTGTATCGCTCTGTCACTTTCTGTTCTAGGACTAGCTTCTCACAAGCTCACGAGGTGCGAGAGGGAGGGGTGTATTGATACGGTATTACACGTGACATTCGTCATCGGCCCCGGATCTCTTGGCCATCGGCCTTATCTTCTTCCATTCTGCAATAACATCCTCCAGGCCATTTCAACGACAGTGACAATAGCAAAGAACATTCGTATCTCTTACGTGCCATGCACGCTTGACCCCAAATTCTGACGCTGAGCAACTTCTATCGCGTTTCAAGAGACCTAGTCACATAGCTCTTACATGCGCAGAAATGTTTATCGGTTACTTCTTATCACTATCTATACATAGAGTACTCCGTACCTCTGAGACCAATGCTCCAATCAATGTCAAGGACAAGTGGGCCGGCCAAACTTCCTTCAGCAACCTTAAGATATCATAGCACTCATAATAATGCCTCGCTTGCTATGTCCTTTGTCTCAGGATCCGTGCCGACTGAACTGTATCAATCTCTTATGTCATTACGTGCCCTATGAGGACTGACGGAATGTGTACTGTACATGGCGTCAGGCATCAACAGCGTTTCCTGACAATCTGGGCCAGCCATCTATTTGGGGAACCTGAACTTTCATGCATCTCTTCGTCTCATCACATTCCAGAGCCCTACTCGGCATGAAGTACTGTATACTTTTGGAAAAGGTGCCGATTAGGCAAAAGCCACAGAAAGTTCTACTCCGCAGCCCAATCTGCGAAGGTGTGGATGAGGGCATCCATCACTTGCCGCTCTCTACTACATAGAATCCAGGTGGCTTCTACCCAAGCTACTCGCTCCCCAAGAGGACAAGGTCGGCATATCAGCCTCGAAGATCATCTGTCAAACAAAATTGGCTGAGAGCTTGCTAGCCATTGAACGTGTCACACACACACACACACACACCTACATGCATCGGGATAGTTCCAGATCTACTCCCAAGGCTGACATGAAGCAGCCAGTAGGAAATCTCGGGAACAAGACTCTATCAGATGAAGTCAGGAGCAATGTGCTTTCGTGCAGCTGTCGTGATCCGGCCTCGAATCGGCCAACTGCAGACGAGTACAGCAGATGTTTACTTCAGACGCCTTGTTCCACAGGGGCCAACTCAGCCGAGCCACACCTTCTCTTGGGTTGCATAAGCGTTATCGGAGAATTCCTGGCTAGACGACGCCCTCTCTGACTATGTCAATTACTAAAATTCCTGCGTTGTAGACAAAGATTGCGGTAACAATAGTGATAGAACATTTGAACCGGTGGCGATGCACCCTGGAAGGCAGAGTCATCAAACAAGGTGAAAAAGGCACGGAAGTTGTATTATACACTATTTGCTGTCAGGGATGATCAAAACCTTGAAATCAGCGCCTCAGACTTCAGCTTTATGGCCTGATATGAAATCATCCCCAGAGGTGAACCTAACAATTAGGCATGAGTGCATTCAGGGCCCCGACCGTCCTGTAACAAAGTACTGGTTTGTGTTTAGCTGCCACCCATCGTCCTCGTCCTATGCGAGCGAAATTGGCAAAGTCCTGTCATAGCAGATACCATGAGCCACGAATTGTTCAGTCCATGGGATGTCGCAATGGAAGCGAAGTCAAGAGGCTGTCAAGATGGCTGTGGGCTCCAAATAATGCTGCTCCTGCCCTGCTCTCCGTTTGATTCCTCCAAAGATGGCACCAAGGGATATATGAAAGGTAATCAATGGACCGTGGTAACTCTCAGATTATTGTTCTCCTATGGCTGTACGACCTGAATGTTGTTCTTCTTCTGTAAAGGGAGATCCAGGTCAGAGCGGGTCCTTCTCACGAGGATTGGCATGAAATGACGAACCTTCCAGTTGTCAAGATCCGACTGCTTCGACTTGTATTGCTTCAGCAGTTCATCTAAGACCTGCTTCAGGCCGTCCGAATTCGTTTTGAGGGAGGGAAGAACGTCTTCGACGGTCCGTTCAACCAGAACCCCATTGACCATGCGGAAACATTTTCTATCCTTGGGAAGAGGTTCGAGTGTCTCGATCACAAGTCTAACGACAGCACGCTGGCATTAGCGATCCATGCTTGAACAGCTAAAACAGGTTGGGAGTAAAGCAGGGAAGACTAACTTGTGCTCCTCTGCTTCCTGCTCGATATCGCCGATCTTTTGTGCTAACTGCTGCAGTGTGTTTTTGTAATTGGTGTACTGGAGCTGAAGCTCTGCAAACGATCAGCACGAAACCCTTGAACATTAGAACAGGAACTCAAGCTTGTACAGACATACCCTGCTGCTTCTTAGGGTTAATCTGTGCTTGACTGGCCATTTTGTCGATATTCGGTACACGCAGCGTACTTGCAAAGCTGGGCTGGAGTTGCGATGCGGGGCGTTGGTTCGATATCCGCGGCGGCGGCGGCGGCGGACCAGGCAGAGGGAACTGGAAGCCAATACTGAATCCGGGTCCACTCACAGCGCTGCCACGTGCAAGTTGGAGCTCAGTAAGAATCTAAACTTGGGCTATCGTAGTTCGTAGTGCAATCACTTAGACTGCAACTGCGATCTTGTCTTGCCCCCGAAATGAGCTCTAAATCTGCGTCATTGGGTGTTGTGTATCAATCACGTGTTTGACATCTGTTTGCAGGGTTTGCATGGTGACACTATCGCCCATCGCCCGATAGTCCATCGAATCCTCCTCCGAAGCTATCCCAACTCATCGCCAGGAGGGCTCAAGCAATCAGCTGTGGCCCTTCTCGCAGACATTTTCCAAAAGTCAATAACTTGCGCTGTTTACTTTGTCTCCTCCCAAAACTTCTACACCAACATTTCAGAATGGCGCCGGACGACATGCCCCCAGCCAAGAGGCTGAAAAGCTCCAACCTGCCGGGCCCGTTGCGCGACGCGAAGCGCAAGGACATTGACAACTGGGAAACCAACCGAATGCTCACGTCCGGTGTCGCTCAGAGAAGGGACTTCGATGGGGACTTCATGCCCGAAGACGAAGAAGGAACTCGAGTCCATTTGCTGGTTCACGATCTCCGCCCACCGTTCCTCGATGGCCGCACGATTTTCACAAAACAGCTGGAGCCCATCTCCGCTGTCCGGGATCCGCAGAGTGACATGGCTGTCTTCAGTCGCAAGGGAAGCAAAGTGGTGCGTGAAAGGCGTCAGCAGCGGGAACGCCAGAAGCAGGCGCAGGAAGCAACAACGATGGCGGGCACGGCCCTCGGAAATCTGATGGGTGTCAAGGAGGACGAGGGGGACAGTGCGGTCGCAGTGCCCGTGGAGGAGGCATACAAGAGCGGAAACAAGTTTGCCAAACACCTGAAAAAGGACGAGGGTGGGCAGAGCTCATTCAGCAAGAGCAAGACGCTCCGCGAGCAAAGAGAGTTCCTTCCGGCGTTCGCCGTGAGAGAGGACTTGCTGCGGGTGATACGAGATAACCAGGTGGTGGTGGTCGTCGGTGAAACGGGGTCTGGTAAAACGACCCAACTGACACAGTTTCTGCACGAAGACGGCTATTCGAAGTTTGGAATGATCGGGTGTACGCAGCCTCGACGGGTGGCTGCTATGAGTGTTGCCAAACGAGTAAGCGAGGAGATGGAGGTGGACCTGGGAGAAGAGGTGGGCTATGCGATCCGTTTCGAGGACTGTACGAGTAGCAAGACGGTCATCAAGTATATGACTGACGGCGTCCTATTACGAGAATCGTTGGTTCAGCAGGACCTCGATAAATACTCCTGCATCATCATGGATGAGGCGCACGAGAGAGCTCTTAACACTGATGTCCTCATGGGACTTTTGAAAAAGGTGCTGGCCCGACGCAGGGATCTTAAGTTGATAGTGACATCAGCTACAATGAACGCCGAACGCTTCTCTCGATTCTACGGCGGCGCACCTGAATTCATCATCCCTGGACGGACTTTCCCCGTTGATGTCCACTTCTCGCGTACCCCATGCGAAGACTATGTGGACAGTGCGGTCAAGCAGGTCTTGGCCATTCACGTATCGCAAGGACCGGGTGATATCCTTGTTTTCATGACAGGTCAGGAGGATATCGAGGCTACATGCGAACTGGTGGACGAACGGCTAAAGCTACTGAACGATCCACCAAAGCTCAGCATTCTGCCCATTTACAGTCAGATGCCCGCGGAGCAGCAAGCGAAAATCTTCGAACGGGCCGAGAACGGGGTGCGCAAAGTGATTGTTGCCACAAACATCGCTGAAACCAGTTTGACGGTCGACGGAATCATGTTCGTGGTGGACTCGGGTTATTCTAAGTTGAAAGTATACAACCCTCGGATGGGTATGGATACGCTGCAGATCACACCAATCTCTCAGGCCAACGCCAACCAGCGCTCGGGACGTGCCGGTCGGACAGGGCCTGGCAAAGCATATCGATTGTATACGGAGGTCGCCTACAAGAACGAACTCTATTTGCAGACCATCCCCGAAATTCAGCGCACCAGTCTCTCCAATACCGTCCTCCTGCTCAAGTCTCTCGGTGTCAAGGATCTCCTGGATTTTGATTTCATGGATCCTCCGCCGCAGGAGACGATCACCACATCGCTTTTCGAACTCTGGTCTTTGGGGGCGCTCGATAACCTTGGTGACCTCACCCACCTGGGTCGGCGGATGACTCCATTTCCCATGGACCCTCCGCTCGCAAAATTGCTCATCAAAGCCTCCGAGGAATACGGGTGTAGCGAGGAGATGCTCAGCATCGTCTCCATGCTGTCCGTTCCGAGCGTATTCTACCGCCCCAAAGAACGTCAGGAGGAATCCGACGCCGCGCGAGAGAAATTCTTTGTCCCCGAGTCGGATCACCTCACGCTCCTCCATGTCTACACGCAATGGAAGGCCAACGGCTACTCCGACGGCTGGTGTACCCGCCATTTCCTGCACGCCAAAGCCCTTCGACGCGCCCGTGAGGTCCGAGACCAGCTGCACGACATCATGACGGTGCAGAAGATGCCCCTCGTCAGCTGTGGAACCGACTGGGATGTCATCCGCAAGTGCATCTGCTCCGGATTCTACCACCAGGCCGCGCGCGTCAAGGGCATCGGCGAGTTCCTCAATCTCCGCACCAGCGTGAGCATGCAACTGCACCCGACGAGTGCTCTGTATGGTCTGGGCTATGTGCCCGAATACGTGGTGTATCATGAGTTGATACTCACCAGCAAGGAGTATATGTCCACCGTCACGGCTGTCGACCCACACGTAAGTTGTGATCCCCCGCCATTCCCATCCCGCCCCATCATCATTGCCCCCTCATCCTCATCGCCATCATGATCTTAAACTGACCGTGGAGTATTCTTGTATGCAGTGGCTCGCCGAACTCGGAGGCGTCTTCTACTCAGTCAAAGAAAAGGGCTATTCTCAGCGCGAGCGCCGAGTCACCGAACAGGAGTTCAATCGGCGCATGGAGATCGAAACGCAAATGGCCGCGGATCGGGAACGGGCCGCCGCGGAAAAGCAGAGGGAGCAGGAGCGCAATGACCCCTCCCGACGCCGGCAGGAGATCGAAGTGGGCAGTTCCGTAGTCCGTCGGCCGGCTGCCACAGCCCGCCGTGTTGGAGGTGTGACTGCCTCCAGCTCTTCACGCAATGGAGTTGGAGCTGGAGGTGGCGGAGGAGCAGGAGGAGGAGGGGGAAGTGTGGTGAAGAAGCCCCAGGTGAAAAGAAGACCTGGACGGGCATTTTGATTGTTGTTGTTGTATGTACAGTACATATAGAGGTATACCCCGATCTTGGCAAAGAGTTATGAGCATGAACATGAGCATACTTCAAATGAGAGTCCAACGGAGACCGTGCACCTGTTTGCCGGATCTTGCTCCGACACGACATGAATTACGGAAGTAGATCCCACGGAAACTCGAGTACTATCACGACTGGGAATCAGGTACCTCTCGAGGATGAGACTAACATAGTCGACACCATCGACTCTTGTTCTTTTCCTTCAACTAACTTTACAACCAGGAAGATCGGACCAGACCAGACCAGACCAGACAGATCAGAGTTACAGCATCAAGTCCACCAGGGATCTTCTTCAAGCTGCAACGTTGAACCTTCACTTCGCGCCCAGTCCAGCACCAGTTATCTTAACCCTCGAATAGTCCTGATCCCACTCACCGAAATCCGTCCCACCCAAACCCAACCTCGCACCCCCGGTCACTACCTTCACGCCCTCGAAATCCAACCCGGGCATCCACTCAGTTAATAAAGTTGATACAGAAGAAATGCAAGATCAAGCTCCCGAAGATATAATCCGCGAACGCCCTAATTCCCGAAGGAGTCAGCTTGGTCCAGCTCAGTCCAGTCCAGCTCAGTCCGAATTCAACCCAACCCAACCCAGTCCCCCTCCCCTCCCCCCTCCGACACCCATACCCAATTCACTCACAAACCCCCTAAAAAGAAAGAAAAACTCACCTCTCATGCGAAATCCCATTCCCCCCAGTCTCATTTCCCAGCGCAGCAGCTTTCCCCTTCGCCCCCTTCCCACCAGACACGACCGCCGCAGCCGCAGCCGAAGAAGAGGAAGTCTGCATGCGCAAACTCGCGGTAAGCACGAACTGGCCCACCGCCGCCGAGAAGCCGCTCAGGAAGGCGTTGAAGGGCTATGTTTGGGAGGGAAGGAAACAGTTAGCCATGGTTTCCATAACATACCCTGCCATGCATACAGACACACAAAAGTCGAATACACAAGGAAGGTTTGGGGTAAAACACAAGGAGGAAAAGTAAGTGAACTCACGTAATTGCCGGCCAGAACACAGTAGAGGAATTGCACGCCGCCGACCAGGACCAAAAAGCCCATGAAGGCGTCGAGCAGGAGCGTGCGCTGCGGGGTCGTGGCGAGGTATTGCTGCCACACGGTGTGGGCGATGTCGAGGACGGAGGAGTTGGTGGTTAGGGTCTTGGGGCCGGAGGAGAGGGAGGAGGAGGAGGCAGGAGCAGCAGCAGCGGTGGTGGTGGAGGATGAAGGTATAGTTGGAGGTGAGGGTGCGGGGACGGGGCCGGCGGCGGCGGTGCGTTTGGAAGGCATGGCTTTTTTTGAGATTGGGTTGCCTGGGTCTTTCGTCTCGGATTGGGAGTCAATTGGTGTGAAAGATCGTGAGAAAGAGAAAGACTGACAGGGTGAGAGAGTGTCTGGATATCGGCGGAGTCGGTCGGTGGTGTACCTCGGGGATTCATTACGCAAGCTGTCCGTTACGCGAAGTCACGTGATATGCGCTGTTATCGGCCGGGGCTTATCTACTAGTAGATTCACTGTACGGTATCCGTACGTTACACGAAGTTCTGTTTGCTGATCGCTGATATGTGCAAGTCTGGGGGTGTTCTACTATGATACAGTACATGGTTGTAGCAGATCTGATATGGTAGTCACCGTGGCCAAGTCTCATACAACCTCAAGAAAACATCCTGGTAACATTCAGACTTATTATACACATCGTCATTATATCATATTCATCGATTCATTGTGATTAAGATTGGAGAGGGGTATTTCTGCATCGTGAAGAGGGGGGTTTCGCATGAGAATAATTGAGAAGGTTCGCCAGTTATACCACAACACTGAGCCCGCTCGAGCGAAGGGCGAAATGCCTCTTAGGGCCACGGCTGGATTAGAGGGTATATAAAGCACACTTCAGGTGCATGGTGCGCTTCCTTGCCGCACAGGCGCATCAGGCAAGCCAGTCAGAGATATTCGCAAAAGGGTTTTCGGTGTTGGCTTCTTGTAAATCCATCTGGAAGTCGTGCATGACCCTATCCCACTCCTCCCAATTGAGCTGAGGGTCCGGCTTGTTCTCGTTCTGCTGCATGGGCACTGGTCCGGCGAATGAGTTCATCGATGCGTCCCCAGGAGTTGTAGTTGGCTGCTCCATGGCTGCCGCCATAGCTGCCGCTTGAGGAGACAACCAGTCAACGCCGGGGAACAAATTGATGATTGCGTCCATCGGCCCCTTTCGAAGATCGATATCAAGTCCGTTTGCATTAGACAACGTACCCCCCTCTGGCATGGCAGATGATATTTGAGATTCTCGTTGCGCAAGAGGCTGGGGTAATATGGGAGGGGCTTGAAGAATTGAGGGTCCAGTGCCACCAGTGAATGGCACGGACTGAAAAGAGCCGACATTGAGACCCAGCTGTGTTCGCATCTCTTCTTGCTTTGCTCTGTGGGCGGCCGCGCGCTTCATGAGCCTTGACAGCGGTCGCCAAAGCATGCCCTTCCGTTGTTTGCTGTTGCGTACCCAATCTCGGTAAAGATTGCTTACAGCCTCCCAAGCACGGTCGGTCAGAGGGCTCAACGGGCGTACACAGAGCTCCGATAAGACAAATGCGATGGCATGCCATTGCATGTTCGTGGCAAAGAGCCAGCTCCACTTAAATGTGTTCTTGTCGGCCCCAAGTAGGCGCGCGAATTCGGCAACCTCCACAGAAGTTGCGAACAAGCTCTCTCGATTTGCACTCGTCAGAGCAACGTCACGGTCAGGCCGAGTCATGGGATGGTGAATCACAAGCCATAGTTTCGTGAGAATGAGCCGAGCGACGGTAGCGCAAACCCATTGAATTGGCACGTTCATGTCACAGTGTTTGATGTATCGTTCCTCGATGCGGGCATTGATGGCTTTGATCAGGTTTCCGCAGTTATCCGCGGACACTGGTCGAGTACCTGGAGTGAGGTGGCCATTAGGGCAGGCATAGCTCACCCGCCGAAGGGCTACTGTGATATCGCAGCGGATCAGACAGAAGGTCACCTCGGTAAAGCCAATTCTCTCCGGGGGCGGCTCTTGCATGTCCGGCGTAATGTCATCATCATTGACGTTCAGTGGAAGCCGAGTATCATAAATCCGTTCGTGGATCTGCGAATCAGTGCCATGGTCTTCGGACGACCGAATGTCCAACAAACAGATATGCCACCACAGTCTTCGGCGCATTTCCGTATCAAAGGGCTTTAATCCGAACTTCGTCCCATCCCGGTGAAGACCAAGACCTTGCGCGAGGCGAAGAACGAGAGCCGTCATAGACCACACGAACTTAGTATCATCCTCACGACGGATACCAATAAGAAAAATGACAGCGGCTTGCAGTAACATCAAGTTCTGCGTGTTCAGGAAATTGGCCTTCGCCAGAGCTTGCTCGACCGCAAATCGATAACGTTTCACAGCAGCATCACGGTCCTCATCTAACTGGATGACACACTGCTCATGAGACAAGCTGATGACCGCCACTAAGCACATCGCCAGGAAAAGTGCTTCCTGGTTTTTATCTAAGCTGCCCGGGTCCTGGGCGGCGATCGTAAAAAGCTGTTTGGCTGTAGGTTTATGGACGACGGGGACCAGCGGCGCCACATTCTCGTAGTACAAATTCCAGAGCACCGGGATCTTCGATGATGGTGGCAGGAAGCCGCGAAGGGAATGGGAAAGCGAGTAAAATCCGAATAGGAAGCCGTCATGGTTGGCGGAGTGAGTCGACGACGACTCTGGAGAGGGGTAATCCTCGTCCTCCGACGCTGATGGGTCGAGGATATCCTGAAGCTCTTCGATCTAACACGTATCCCTCTGTCAATACCTGAAAAGTGCCTCATCATAAACGACATAAAGGAAGCAAGAAATCGGCTCACCTCATCACCGAGACTGGCCCAGAACCGATTGCTCACATAACGACTCCGGCCCTCATCGATAACCAGTCGTCCAAATTCATGCTCCATGTTTCGCGTGGGCAGAGGCCTGCGGGGGTCCACATTAGCAGCATCCAGCATCAGCGGACACCCGTCGCCATCGCCGGGGCCTGCGTGAGGCGCCGGCGGACCCTGTGTGCTCACGTTCTCACTGCGCGATTGGCCTGGGGAAGGCGTATCCGATAGCGACGCTGTTCGTTTCTCGTTCAGATGCTCGATGACACCCTCCAGGCGCCTGAGTCGAGACAGGAGCTCCGCATCTTGTGGCCGCTTCGATTTGCGGGGCGCCCTTCCAGGTGGGGGGAAAATACACTCGATCCCCGCCTTGACACAATTCGAGCACGGCGATCGCTTGTTGCAGCGGACTTTCCTCCGACGGCAGGTAACACAGCTGCGTATGCTATGCAGCTCGTGCGAGGAATGAGGGTCGGTGTGATGATCAACAACGATCGCAGCCTGGCCATGACTGAGACTCTCCGAATCTTGTCGGGAGTGCGTCGCAGATAAGGCTGGCGAGGTCACAGTGGGTACAGGCGGGCGTTGTTGTGCTGGAAGTGGTGGACTATGGAAGGACATGACAGTATAGGTGGAGCATGCCACATCGTCAACAGCGACAGCGGCAGCGGCAGTTCAGGGGAAGTTTGCGCTGAGATGAAGTGGAATAAAGAAAATTATTGATCAGACCAAAGGAGGTGAATCGGTCCGGATTACTGTATTATTATGATCGGGGCCGAGCTCACTAACTACTAACTTAACTAATACTTCCGTGCCTCAGTCATCGACTCATAGTGGGGAGGGGCAGAGAGTCGATTCAGGTCTCAAACAACGCCATTGGCCAGGAACGGTAGCTCCTCACGTAATCATAAAGGAAGAAGACAATCACGTGCATCTGACATTGTGTCAATGAACATACCTTACTCAGTAAATTAGTCCGCGACTAATAGTAGTTGGGTCCAGGCTAACTTGCGTGGGGTCATTTCTATTGTTCGCAAAAGAAAGATGGTCTTTCTGTCAGCGGGGAACCATCGTCCGATATTATACAATGGCTATATCATGGAGTACGTATAGGTATTGATTAGCCCCTGACGTTCAAGTTCACCGACGGGATAGTTTTACCTATAGCCTCGCATACGTGACACATCTCAAACATAGTCCTTGCAATGACCGTGGATCTGAGACTTCGTGCAAAGGTCAGGCGCTTCAGTAGCCTTCCTGTTGCTTCCCGTGTGACATGTGCATCAACCGTGGTTCAGTACATGGGCCGATGTCGCGGACAATACTAGATTATATATTTGATATATTCACAAAAGTCTCCGTAGACTCAATTGTTCAGTTGCCCAGACTCCGGGAAGCCAAGTCACCAAACTCTAGATTTGGGACAGAGAAAGTCTGAAATGACCCCAATGAATAGAACAGAAGGCCGGAGAAGCATAATAGAACCCAACGCCGAATGTATCCAACGTGCGAATAAATGGTATGCGTTCCAAAGGATAACGCCATATATATGCAAACAAGTGACGACTATATAAAAAGAATTGAACCCGGTCAGATCGTAATTGTCATAGTCAGGCCCAGATGCGTCAACGAGCCTTGAACTTTGAGAAACGGTCTTCGAGTTTCATCGAAACAAAGGCCCGAGCGGCGTGGTTCGGACGGGTACGTCGACTGGCTGGCGGCGCCAAAACTGCCGTTTCCTTTGTTTATCCCACACTTCTGTGGCATCGTTGAAATGGTGCCTGGATTCGAGGTTTAGTTGGAGGGCCTATTGACAAAGACATGACAACTTACCCTTGGAAGGTGGTAGCGGTCATAGATTTCGAGCCATATTCCTTCTTGAGAAGTCGGACATATTCAAACGGAATTTTAACAGGGACACCCTCGAAATAACTATTCCGTAACGGGAAGATTTCGGTCTCCTGTAAACTGGTTAGCTGCCATGTTGTGCCAGTGGTTTGCGCGCCATTTACATCAAAGCGATGGCCATCTTTACACATCAGAGCACCGGGGTCACCGCGTTCTCGTCTGTCGTCATCTTTGCGCACGGCGGTGATGTCGATAAACAATCCGGAGGAAGTGTCAATCCAACGCGCATCAATGACATTCAACTTATCGTCGGTAGACCGGATGACGTAGTTAGGATTTATCTCGAGCAAGTACGTTCTTCCGCCCTCGACCCCTGGAATCTCGAAATGGTGTTCCGTCATGTTGTAATAATCGGCAAGGAAGTGAATTGTGGGCTCAGATATTTGGACATCAAGGTCATTGTCCCAAGGGAAGATCTAATCAGCTGTCAGCGGGAGCCACAACGCAGCGACCATGTGAGTCGGTAACAACAACCTTCTGATTCCACCACCATGCCAGAAGAGTACCATGCATGATCCATGTCTCGGCACCAAGGTCTGCCATTGTTGACAGGTAGGTTCGGATGAGTTCCGACAGGTGCGGAATGGTCTCTTCGTCCGAGAGAGGCTTATCGGCAAA